AAACTAACCACGTCTGGTAATGCTGAAAAGCACAGTCAGAAAACCTGGAAGTTTGGATCTGATGACAATTACTTAATTATAACCACACACAGGTTAGAATGCTGGGGAATATAATTTTGATGTTAGGTAAAGGAATTTCTACAAATGAGAAAAAGGGCAAGGAAAAAACACAAGATAAATTTTAACCTTACTGGAGTTCAGACAGCACAAACCCAGGTTTTAACTGGTTGGTCACCCCTGAGTAAGCTATTTTCTGGCCAGAGAAACTGCCAGAAATATTAATGCCTGAAGATAGGAGTCTTCATATGCCTTAAAGGAGCCAGGGAGGTCACAAAGGGTAGGCTATGGGGAGTGGTGAGGTCTGTGCCTAAACTTAAGTAAACACCCCATAGAAAAGCACTGAACTTCAATTTTAAGAACTTTCTTAGTTCACTATTGATAGAATTATCTTGAATTCCTAAAAATCTTATATGTAAAGATACTGCCTCTGAAACATGGGAAATCAATCATTCAATATCAAAACAACTGGTAAAAATCCATTTAAAAATTAAAGATGTTCAACATCACTAATCAAGGAAATGAAAATCAAAACCACAGTGAGATACCACCTCACACAAGTCAGAGCAGCGAATATGAACAAGACAAGAGGTAAGTGTGGTGAGGACACAGAGAAAAGGGAGCCCTCATGCACTTTTGAGGGGAATGTCAACTGGTGTAGCCACTATGGAAAGCAGTATGGGGGTTTCTCAAAAAACTAAAAATAGAATTCCCAGTAATTCTACTTCCGGGAATTTACCTGAAGAAAACAAAAATCACCAATTTGAAAAGAAAAAACCATGCACTCCTATATTTATCACAGCATTATTAACAATAACCAAAATACAGAGGAGACCTAAATGTCCATTGATAGATGCAGGAATAAAGATGTGATACATATATGCAATTGAATATATGTACATATATACTCAGCACAAAAAACAATGAAATTTTGCCATTTGTGACTATATGGATGGACCTAGGGCATTATGCTAAGTGAGGAAGAGAAAGACAAATATGTAGAATTTTTAAAACAAAACAAACAAACCAGAAATAGACTCAAACACAGAAAATAGACTATCATGGAGGGGGACAGATGAAATAGGGGAAAGGAGAAAAAAATTAGTGAGAATGTTTGAAAAAAAAAAACAAAACTTAAAGCCCCTTTAGAAAATACTCAAAAGACATATTGACAGTTCACAAGAGTTAATACAAATGGCTAATAAAAATCTGAAAAATGTTTTCATCTTCACTAAAAATATATGAAATGAAAATTAACTGAGAGACCATTTTTCATTCATCATATTAGCAATGATTAAAAAATAAGAACATACACAGTTTATGAGGAAGAGTCAAATGTGCACTATCACATAGGTGATGGGGGTAATAATACCAAACACTGTTTCTAGGAAAATAATTTAGCAATAAGCATCATTAGCTTTAATGGATCTATCAATCCTGCATCAGGAACAGGCTGCTTGCTGTCTTAGGAATAAGCCTTATTACTTCCTAGTAGATAATGTAATTTCATTTTTGTTTGGCCAAGACAAAGTTCAAAGACAAATCTATGAGTCAACTCTGAATCAGCAAGCTACATTTAGGCTGAGCCTTAATTTCCTATTCTATCTGTATTTCCCCTAATTTTGGTTTTATATGTTTTTCCCAATTTTTCTTGCATTGCTTCTTGAATGCCGTGAAGTATCTGTGAAAAGAACCAGTATATAAGCAAAATATTGTAAGAATAGAAAAAATGAGCCTTCCACGCATCAATTATGGTATTATTTGTACTGCTACTTTACTAAATGGAAAATAACTATTTAGCAAAGCGTGAATTTTGCCTCATGTTACAAAGCTGAAGACCATTCAGTTTCATTGAAATTGCTTCTGACCTCTTTGAGACACAGCAATACTATTTTAAAGCTATTTTATTTGCTGGAGGGGCCGCCACCATGCCAAAATGGAAGTCAAGAGAACAGATAATCACCCAACTGGATAGTGACTCTTTCTGAAGCACCATCTACAATCTCTCTTCATGAATATCTCATTAGTTAACCCATTCACAGCCTTTCCTGTCCCATGTTGAAGATTCTCTGGAATCCAATGACAGGTTAAAAACCTTGGTAAGTGACAGGAAGGGGAATAATGACTTGACTGATGTCTTTCAGCTGATTTAACAAAAGCTTATCTAAATTTTATGGGAATAAAGTATCTTTGATTTGTCAAGAAAGGTATATAAAAAAACTTAAGTAAAATACAGGGTTAATAAATGCAATATAGGAAAACCTAAAACACAACAAGGAGAGCCTTGGGCAAGACATTTTAAGGCTAAAAGCCTCAGCTTTAACAGCTCTTAAAACAAAACAAAAACTCAACAGTGAATGCCCCTCGCATCACTTGGCTGTGTTCTCTAAAGAGAGGACCAGACTGTGGTGAACCCCTCTAACACAGGAGGCCTGAGCGGGCAGGGTCAAACCTGCTGAATCCAAAGTGATCTTGGCAAGCTGTCTAACTTTTTACAGGTCAGTTTCTTAGTCTGTAAAATGGGTTGGCAATAACCCTTCTCAGGACTGCGGGCAGGACTAAGCGAGGCAAAATATTACAGGGAATTGCATATACACTCAGGGCTCCACATAGGAAACGGCTTATTATGTGAAGTATTACTCTCCTGATCTATTAAATTAGGAAAATGATACTAATCCATTGTTACTAAGCTCAAAGAAGATAATGAACCCAGGTGCCAATAAAGCAATAAAAGATGCACAGTAAAGGGGAGCGACAATTACGACTGTGACGAGAAAGCAGTTCGTAAAACCTAAGTGCTGCTAGGCTACTTCAGACCGTGTAAGTCGCTCCTGACACAACAAATGGTTTTTAAAAGCAACAAAACCTGTTGTCAGCCAGTGACAACTGTGGAACTGATACAAAGACTGACAAGAGGTCTTGCGCTCCTGAACACAGCTGCTTCCTAAGAACTTAGGCGGAGATAAGATGTTTAAAGCTGGGAGAGGGCAGGCTCTCTCCCTCCTGTAATTAACGTTTCTGAATCCTCACCTCTTGAAGAGGCAGCCACTAATCTAGGGACAGCCTTACAGGAGAGAGGCAGCCTCAGCAGGCTGACTGCCCAGGAGACCCTCAGGCTGCTCCTCCTTCAGACCCCCAACCCAACACCACCAGGAATTTCCCTTCATTGGCCTTCAGCTGTGCAGACAAACCAAGTCTCATGAAGGGAACAAGGCTGCCTTGTTGGAGAAGGGAAGGGAAGGGAGAGCACGGGTTAGGGAAGGGAAGGGAAGGGAAGGGAAGGAAAGAAGAGGGGAGAGAAGGAGAGGGGAGGAGAGCACCGTCATCCCACCTCTCAACCTCTCTCTCTCTCATTACCTACCCCCTACTTCCACCCCTCACCCCAGCCGCCATTCTCTCCACCAGAACCTGCCAGGAATGCACACACTGCTCACGGATGCAGCTGACCGGACCACAGAGTACGTGTAGCTCCCAGCATGGGTGCTCTGGGGCCTTGCCATGCACCTACTTTTAAAAGCAAGCAACAGGTTGCCAAACCTGGGACAAACCGCATGGTCAAAGGTCACTCCTTCCCTTCTCAGGCAAAGATTTACTTGCCCTCTCTGACAAAAGACTTGCAACTCTGCTTCAAACAGAAAATCCTTTGAGCCCTTTGAAATGATGACTCCAAACTGAAGCCACAATCAATAAAGGCAATCAGAAAGTCACCTAACCACTACCTGTCATCAGGGCTAAAGACCCCTCCCTACTCTGGACCACACTGTTTTACTTCCCTCCCCTGCTTTTGAGGACATTGAAGTTTAGGGCTCCTGATCAAGGCCACTTAACTTACTCTACAAATGAGAAAAATAAAGCTCAGAGTGGTAGAGTCATTTGCTTCAAATCATACAGCTTCTCAGAGCAGAGCTTCAAAGAATCCAGACTCCTCCACACACAGCCAAGAGCTTCTGGACCTGTTTTCAGTGGCAGAATATTGAGCTGGGAAATAGCCGAGCTGACAGCCTTGTTCCTGAAGCTCTCTCTCTCAGCAAAACAATCTTTGACCTTAAAATTGGTTGATCTTTAAGATTCCTTCACCTTCCTGGACTAGTTACTATGCATAATCACGCTCAACTAGCGACTTGAAGAGTCCTCCCACGTGCACACACTGCACATCTGCATGATGATTCTGAGAGATGCACACTTTTTACAGGTGAGGAATGTATGGCTCAAGGGCATACAGACAAGGCTAAGCTGCACTTGAATCCAGGGCTCACTGACTCCAGAGCCGTACACTTGCAGCATGCCCTGCTGCCTTACAAATATTCACTATCTCTCCAATTTAAGAACAAAAAATTAGAAACATATTTTATTCTGAACAAAGTTAAACAATAGGGTCCTAGAACAAAACATCAGAAAGGGGTTCCACCTTTCTACCTGGGATGGCTATTGAATTGTGGATTACACCAGCTGCCCCCACTGTACTGGAAGATCCCGCAAGGAGGGTGCCCCACCCTCTGTGTTTTTGTTCTCTCCAATGGGTCTACAGTAATCTCTTAATAACACCTGGAATTATTAGTCAACATCATCAAGTTTCAGTTTTTGGTCAAATTTACTAAAATGGGCCTCTTGGAAGGATGCATTTTATGCCCCTCCATGGGTTCTCAGAAAGTTTCTCTTCCTTCTCAGCACACTATGTCTCACCCCTTCTAGTTTTAATCAACCACAGGGAGGTGGTGTCAGAGTACATGAAATCACATTTGCTTGGTTTTGCAAACAAAACATGTTGTTTTCACAGCTTTTTAACTTTTCTTGTTATTTTTCCAAAGCAAACCAAGTAAAAATTCAACTCTAATACATGATATAAAAAATATTTTTTTAAGGCATATACACAAAGTACTTGAATGCCAAAGCAGGTAGTTGTTGTACAAGCAGAAGTGGTTGTACGTCATAGTAATACTTACAACCCATATGACGATCAGTCTTCTGGATAAATAGGGATTGATATTCCAATGTGTGAATGGAAGAAACGTGATGTAGAACTCTTCTTGACCCAAAGCAGCTGAAAATCTGAATAGGTAATAGTAGAAGTAATTCTTCACAATGTACTTCTGCACATATGTCTGAAAGACAAAAGACAGAAGACTCTGTGAGTTCACTGAACATGTCACTGTAAGGCAAGTTTAAAAAACTCTAAAACTCACAGGGCCTCAATGATCAAGGGGCTGCTTCCCTCCCATTATCTAATTACAGTATCATTACTGACAGTATACATTGCTGTCAGAGATGTTAACCCCTGTTTGTCCACACAAACACAGAAGATATTAGTTCTTCATAAAATTAAGTAAGTAGCATCCAAGACAGTAAAATCAAGGGAAGACACACAAGAAAACCAAAGCCTCTCTCCTGTGTACACAGAAGGCTAGAAACTCGAGAGAGATGAACTCTGCTAGAACAGCATATGGGTCTGTGACTGTGGAAGGCAGGAAAACATTCCCAAAGATGTCCACAACCTAATCCTTTGGACCTGTGAATACATTACCTTGCATGGCAACAGGGACTTCGCAGATGTAACTACATTAATGATTATGAGGTGCAGAGATTATCCAGGATTATCTGGGGGTTCAGCGGAATCACAAGGATCCTTACGAAAGGAAAGGAGGCAGCAGAAAAGTCAAGAGCCAGAGAGGCATCTATGCTGCCAGCTTTCAGGACGGACGGAGGAGCCAAGAGTCAAAGAATGCAGGCGGCCTCTAGAAGCTGGAAAAGGTGAAAAAACAGATTGTCTCCTAGGGCCTCCAGAAGGAATGCAGGCCTGCAGACCCCATGTGTGACTCCAGGGGAAAATCCCAGGGCAAAATACCTTTGAAACCGAAATCAGTCAAAGGGAGAAGTAAAGTGGGAGAAACCCCTTTTTTGCTTACAAGCAGTCGTCCACTTCGGCTCTCCTGTGTCTCTCTGGAACCAGGCTGCCGGAAAAAGGGCCCCCACCCAACCTCCCTGGTCCAGATACACCCTGGCTCGCCCTTGTTATTACCTTTGACATGGAGAAGGACTACTTCTCTCCACCCCTTGGAAACACCTGTTGATACGGAGATGCACTAAGGCCAGGCAAGAGATTCTGGAAATATTGCAATTTTACCCACACCATGATTTTAGCCAAAAAGAACTGTTTTGGACTTTTGACCACTACAGCTGTTAATAAATTCATGTTATTTTAAGCCATTAAGTTTTTGGTAATTTGTTGTAGCAGCAATAGATAACTAACACAAAGACTTCAGAAAAAGCCACTTGCCAATGAACACTTTTAGTTTACTTTTTCAAGGACTAGTAAAGCCAATGCACTACAGGGAGGGTGTAAGAAACACAGCAAGTGCACAAATACACTCCCATTTTCTATCATTCTGCCCTCCCTCTTAACCTAGTAGTATGCAGAAAGAAAAAAAGACTTAAGCAGTTAAAACATGAATAGAACAACTAAAAACACCGTCACCCTGTTAAATGAATCTAAAAACTTGAGTTTTCATGCTACTTATGATAGTCTTTATAAACTTTATAAAAATAAATTCAAACTGGAATGCCAACCCTGAAGTTGGAGAAGAGGTTAGGCAGCCCTATCATAGGAAGACCTATACAAACACTTGTGTGGGTCTGGATTTGAGCTTTGTTTTGTTTTACATGAAGTCTGAGGTCCTTGAATCCAGGGGGAATTCAGAAAATAAGTTAAATGTATTTATTCTGCAAATATTTATTATGTGCCTGTGATGACCCAGAACCTGCACTGGGTACCAAGAATATTCAGCTGAGTGAGGCATGGTGCCTAGCTTCAAGGAGCTCTTCTGGGGGGCGCCAAAGAGTATAATTTGGGGGAATGAATTTTTAAAGGACCAACTTTGTGTTTGAAGCCTTGTAAAGGCCAAGGGTATTTTTGTACTTAAGGAAAAAAAAGATGACCTTGGAAACTGCAAGAACATTAACTGTACTTGGCACCGTTGGCTGCCTACCAAGTAAGCATTCCTCTCTTTCTCTAAGAGGTTCCCGATTTTATTCCGGCATCTCTAACTCCCCCACAGAGCCCTGTGCCTCAGGGGGAAGCTGACGCTGCTCTTGGCACTAGAAGTGTATCAGACTTGTTCTAAACCAGCCATAGTAAGCTCAAGAATTCAGCCTCAAGCCAAGCAGTGCAAGGTACTAGCCTGGAGAAAGTTACCATTCGGGGCAGCCCATGTTGTAATCTAAAAGGTCACCTCTCCTGGGGGATGAACTTTACCTCTAAATTAATTCAAATTAGAGAGAATGGCCATAGATCCATCCTAAATAGGAAAGACGATCATGCACAAAATGAATTAAAGAAGGAAGAGTATCATTTCATCCCTCTGCCAAGATATAATGACTGGATTTGAAGAACAAGGAAGGACAAAGGATGACAAGTAGTGACAAACTCCTCTGATGTGAGGACTAATCTCTGCAGGTTCTGTTTTGTAAGTATATACCCAACAGACCTGACCTTGAGGGCAACCCTGTAAAGAGACTCTTTTACATAAAAATTAGTTAGTCTATTACAGACACACTGGTAATCCATCCTGTTTTGAAGCTTTACAAGGGGAAATTTTGTCAAAATAATGACAACAGTCAAACCCCTCCTTGTGCCATTTCATAGTGCCCAAGTATTATATGACATTATAAATATGCAGCAACAACTACTTCCCTACCCTAGAGATTTAATTGAGACCAAGTTCCATGCCTTAAATTCAGCAAATAACTGAAAAGACCATCAGGCATGACAGCAAACTGCTTTAGTGTTACATATTACTAATTAATATCTGTGAGTAAAATTGCAATACTTTCAGATTCATCTCCATATCAATAGGTGTTTCCAAGGGGTGGAGAGGAGTAGTACCTCTCCACATCAATAGGTAATATAACAAAGGCAGCCAGGGTATATCTGAACCGGACAGGCTGGGTGGGGGCCCTTTTTCCTGCAGCCTGGTCCAGAGAGACACAGGAGAGCAGAAGTGGACGACTGCTTGTAAGCAAAAAAGGGGTTTCTCCCACTTCATTTCTCACTTTGACTGATTTCGATTTCAAAGGTATTTTGCCCTGGGATTTTCCCCTGGAGTTACAATATCTTTAGATACAATTTTTACATTTCTTAGGATTTCTTTTGTGGGGGGAGAGCTAGATATTCTCTACATCTTGGGAACAGAAAAAGCCAAGCTGAAATTAAAACATCAACATATATATACAGGACACGCAAAGGACTTTTTAGATAACATCATTGCCTATGTGATTAAATAGCTTGAGAGCTAATATGTGCCTCCATATTCTTGGGAATATTATGTACCAAAATAAAGCAGTTAAGTACTTATCAGAACAGGAATCTAAATTTCTCTTGTACAAAAGCTTGGTGTGTATGACTTCAGTATACTTTCGGGAAATAATTTCAGTTCCTATGTGTTGGTCCCACTGGGAACAATTGGAGAAGAAAACGGGCTAGAAATAGAAATGGTAGGGAAAGTGATGGCAGAGAGGAAAAGAGAAAAAGCAGAAAGAAGAAGACCAAGTCCCAGGACTACCCCTCCATTTCTGTAGAAGGGGCCACACACAATGGGCTGGCAGCCTTGGCAGCCAGGCACTGTCTCTGGGGCACAGGCGCAGGAGGCAGGGAAAAAGCAGCTGATTTTTCAGACAAAAGATCAGATAGGCATTGAACATTTAGGTACATGGAGCTACTTCTAGAAATAAAATACTTCATAGGATCCCCATCATCTGTCGAAAAGCCAAATGAAGACATTTCTAGAAACAAGGGATAAGATGGAAATTACGTACATATCCATTATCACTGTCAAATGCCAGTGGTATTCTCATTCATGTATTTATTGGTTTATTTTCCTGAAAGGAGAAAAAAAAAACATGATCTCAGTCCCCCAAATGTCATCTTTCCTTTTTGGTCGTAAGTTCCTCCAGTGCCCATCGTCCTAAAATCAGGTTTTCAGGAACATAGCCTTTGGGTGGAGAAGAGCTGCTCTCTCTCGCTGATAACAGAGTGCTCCGTGTTCTCTGCAAGGCTGCTTTTGGCGCATAAATAAATCAGGAACTAGAGGCAGCCACATGGATGAGTCGCAGGGTGGAAGAGAAACACTGCAGATATGTAACTTCTTTACTCAGCTCTGCCCCCCTCTCCCCCCACCCCACACACCAAGGAGTCCTAAATGCACAGGGAACATGGCCAGGTCAGTGACACTGGATCTAATAAGGGCTGACCCAGACAGCAGAGGAGTGAATGCCCAGCAGACTTGGCAGCTGGCCCAGTTTTTGAGCTTTCAAAGCAGGAATACAAGAAATAGCTTTTAGCCAAAACAATGTGTGACCTTGGGGAAGTCAGTCCAGCTTTCTGAAACTCAACCAGTGGCCTCAGCTACAAAGGATGGAATAACATTTGTGAAGTTGCTTTTTAATATATAAAAAAATCTAAGTAGGGAAAGGCCCATTAAATGAAATGTTACCCCAGGGCCTAGTATATGAAATGATGTAAGAGTGAAAGTCTGTGCTGACTGGTTGAACGTAAGTTAGGGCCCAGGAAACCCCTATCTCAGGTATGCCCAACCCCTCAAGTCCTTCTCTGGAACATTCCCTCAGAGCAGTTCAGTAATCAGTTTGAAAACCACTGACCTTATCTCTGTCAGAACTCACCTGCTGTTAATTACCCCTTATCTATAATTAACCTCTGGCCTTGAGTACACCAGCTACAGGTGTTCTGACCTTGAGGTCTGTCTTGCCAATGGGTTTCAGCCCTGGGCAAGTTCACTATGGATTCAATGAGACCAAAGAATGACAATGGAATGTTCTTGGGGGTGAAAGGGTTTATACCCAACTTTATTCCCACGGTGGCAGGTCAATCACCAGAATTCCATCCACTCAGAGTGAGTCTGCATGCAGCAAGCTGGTCTCTGCCTCTGGGCCTCTCTGTCCCCACAGCCTCAGTCTATGTCCTCAGCACTGCCCAACTCCAGTCTCTGCTCTCCTGCAGCCATGCAGCACCCATGCCACCGTGTCGCCCAGAGGACCGGGCAGGGCTCTTTATATAGAGTCAGTAGCAACGTATTGCCCACATGTGTGTAGT